GCAGTAAAACAAAGAATCAGTTCCAACTAAATCATAATAATGACATTTGCAAATGATAATATTTTAGAGCAGCTTCCAAACTTGAGTTGACTGTTACAAATTGTAAGTGTTTCAGAGTGTCAAAGAGATCAAACCATCATTCTCCTGTTTCCTCCTACTAAGATGGCAACAATTGACATCATTGTGAAAATTTTCTTATTCAAACATAACATAGTCAAAAGATATTGCAAAACTTCATTCGTTGCAATTTCGAATGTGAACTTACATCATCGGCAATATCTTTGCAGCCGACTGTGTCATGCTACAGGGTTAGAGGGATGTAAATCAATTGCCAATCTATTTATGGATGGGACGAAAAGCCTTGATCACTAAGCAAATAAATTGCCGATCTGTTTATGGATGTCAAGCATTGTCTTACCTGTTGGTTAGTGATTTGATTTGCTTGACATCCATAAACAGATCGGCAATTGATTTGCTTAGTGATCAAGGCTATCAATGCTAGTCAAAGTACGAGATTGAAGACATTCCCCACAACTATTATACCAGCAAAAACATGCTCGAATGATATACAACTTCAAGTAAAGTTAAAAAAGTAAGCCTCTAAAGAAATTCATACAGAACAATAAAGACCGTGTGATGCTTGAACATGCAAGGCATGTAAAGATCAAATTTGATGCAGAAATCAAAGGAAAAAGAAGTATTAAAAGTTTCATCATAATTTTAGTTCAATAGTAAAATTTTGAAATACCATGTTATCTTTTGGTTCAGGAAGCGCTATCTGCTCTAGACTTTGCTGCAACTCAAGACGATATTGTGCATTCCTAAACATGTAACCAGTCATCATAACACTGTACATTAGTTGTGCCAGATTCTCAGCAACCTGAAAAGAAAAGAAAAAGGGCATCAAAATCATATTGAGAACTAAAGGATAATTGTTGCAATGAGAAAAATGTGCTATATTATGATCTTATGTTGAAGAAAACAAAAGTTATGACATAAGGCCAATAAAGCATGATAAACTGAAAACATACCGTGGTAACAGTTACTGAAAAGAACTGAGGTGGAAGTGTTCCAATCATATTTGCCACAGTTTGTCTCATAGCATCGACAACCTCCAAGGGTAAAAGAAAATACGAGAGTGGTCTAAGAAATTTAGAATCTGAATAAGCATTACTTGCTGCATTTTATAATTATTCTAGGAACAAGAAATACAGAGAGACGCTAGTGTTAATATATAACAAGGGAATATCTTGAAATGAGGTCACATACAATTTTTTTGATTATCGCAAATTATGCCATAAAAGAAGCACAATTCAAACACTAGAAGAAATATCAGATGACAACCTACCTGTTTTGGTGCTCTTTTCACAAATAGCTCCATAAATTCTGGCTGAACATTTTTGACATATTCCAAAAGAATGTCCCTCCTGCTCTTGGGCTGAATATATATAAAATCAGACCTAAGAATTCTTTCATTGGGCATGAGTAAAATGCATATGCACAATTAAACTCAACATGATAATCCATAATTACTAACATCAAGATTCAAGAAGCACGATTAGTACATATGCAGCATGAATGTCCTCGTGATTGGTGCCCATGCATCATAAACATCATAATCAATCACTTACATATGAACAAAACCAGTATCATATTCTATTTAACAGTATACTGAGTATAACAAGTTTTAGAACAAAGCTACAACAATGATGAAGCAGAAATTTCTTCCTGGAAATCTTTGTAAAATGAACAACGTAAATTTTTAGCTTAGTGATTCCATCAAACCCATCATTCATATTACGAAGACATCACACCACCACCACCACCACCACCACCAAGGGGTGGGTTAATTTCAAAAAGAATAAAGTAAGAGATGTGGAACATGGTTTGATACCGAGGAAGCAAATCATACCAAGCTAATTGGCATGTATTGACACGAGCCAAAAAGTAAATACCAGAAAGGTATAGTTGCAACCATCTAATTCGTGAAGGCAATTAATTCAAACACGGGTAACTGAAGACAGCACACAAAACGCGAAGCATCAACAACAAGATAAAACAACAACTTGAAGAATCAAACGGCACCGATTAGCACAAAATGCATCAGAACTGGAGTCTGGAAGTTCAATGGTTCAATCTAGGTGCATCACGCTACCAGACAGGGATGCCAGCACGTGCAGGCTAAGGAAAATCTCAGCAGGAAACCACCTTTCTGGTACCAAACGTAAGATCGCCCACATCTTTAGAATACCTGGCAAGTCAAGGCAAGTCCACAGTTGCCCGCTTGCCGACAATACAAGAGCACTAACAAGAACGATTAACAAACAGTGATGTGGTGAACCTAACCACGACTCCTCGGCATCGGTTATCCATGTCCAACCAAAGACAACAGTCTTCAGGTCGAAGAGAACAAGGAAATCTCAACTCCAACATTTCTACTCCCGATTCGAGGGCAAAATGTAATCAAGAACTCATCGGAAACCCAAAACCGATTTGCATACCGAGCCCCCTTTAGGAGGTTGGGTGTCGCCGGCATCGGAATCTTGGGCCCGCACGAGCTTCAATCGGCATCTTCTCCTCCTCTGTAAGGGGAAGGAGAGGGAGAGGAACAAGATCGAGGGAGGGGAAGCGGAGGAGGAGGAGAAGACAGGGGAGAGAGAGGAGGGCAGGGCAGCAGAGAGAGGTTTCGGGGTGAAGAGGTGGGAAGACATGAGAACGCTTTCCTCACCCAATCCGTCTCCAATCCCAATGCTGCGCTTGTTGATATCTTCAGGTGAGAAATTACCACATGAATTTTCTATCCCAAAAAAATTGTTAAGTGCTAAAAATGGTGAATGAATATAATCAGCATTTTGATGAAAATAAAAAGTGAAACTAATTTATTCACACATAAATTTTTGGGCAAGATTCTAAGAAAAAAATATCTTTTAATTTAATTTTTTTTATAAAATAATCATTCTATCCATATCGATCATCGTTTTCTATCTGGTCATGTCTTCATCCTGAATAATTGTGCATACCTTCATCCCAATCAACGATAAAAGCCTCAGGTTAACCATGTCAATAGTCCATGCAAAAAAAAAAAAGGAAGAAATTATGGGGGCACAAAGTTAAATAATTTGTAGTATTCTTTAAAAAAATTATAAAATTAAAATTTTTTCATAAATTCACTATATATATATATATATATAACTTAACTTTTTTACAACGTTGGTGAGCAATTGATAGTTACATATCAATTCACATGTTTCATGATGCATCAATGGAAAAGGCAGGCGTGATTAAGATGGGTCTTGATGGTGAGGATACATCGAAATGACATCATATTTTTACCTCTATTTAATATTTGATTTTAAGAAGGTAAAATAGATATAGATGGTATTCTATTCATTGTTAAAATCGGAATTAGAATTAGAGTGACACCTTGATATGTTTGGTTTGATATTATTTAATCCGATATTTTTTTAATATCAAATCATATTTTTTAAATATTTATATAATTTTGTATATTATTTTATTTATTAAGATTTATGCTATATATATTAAAATATATTAATTTATATTATGGTTATACAATTCCCATTTTATTATTTGATATTGTTCTATGATATTTTTTTAGTATTTTATTTATCAAATTATAACAAAAGTATTGAATGCAATGTACCTGAAGTAAGAAGGAATATTATTAATATGTGTTATTTTAATTTTTGAACAGTTTTAATATAATTTTAAATTTCAAATTGTGACGAAGAATTTATGCTAAGATGAGCAATGATCCAAATCTCATACCACATAAAAGAAATACTCTACCCTCCAAAAACAAAAGAGGATAGCTTGTAATTTCGTGACTCATCCAGTCTTATTTTTCTTATTTTTAGCTTTGAATCGTGCAGGAAATAAAATAAAAAATTTATATAAAAAAATAATTAAATGTTTTGAAAACATACAATCCAACTTGAGTAATACTTCAATAAAAAAGAAGAAAAATTATTTCAAAAACATTACAAAACCAACACTTGGTAAAATGTTTTATTTTGGATATAAAATGAATGAAGACATTCCTTTCCTACCACATTATTCATGTGTAAACATTGAGACCATGGATGAGAACAAGATTTATCCATTTCATTCAATGATTGTCAAAAGAATTTATGTCAATTGGAGTTATTCAGAAATAGTATATATTTGTCATTATAAATCTTGATTTAGCTTTTTTAATATATATTTGTCATTATTCAGAAGTAGTATATATTTCATTCAATGCTCCGCTCAAGCTACCTCTTCCTCCCGCCGATCCTTTCGGACATATGCGCCGTATCTCCGGCGGAGGAGGATATATTTAGTTCTATACTGGATGGAAAATCGAAGAGTTACGTACTCGCCTTCACTCGCCTTATTTAACTCGTTGAGGGACGAAGCGATGCCACGCTTGTCACCCAAAGCCCGCACGAGATTCATGGAGGAACCCCGACCTTGGTGACATGAGGAACGGCAGAGACCACCGCAGCCACCAGATCACCGCTGTTGCCGCCCACGTCTCGAAATGGACGGAGAGGCGGCTGGTGCTGGCCCTCCTCGCCGCTCTCCTTCTCGTCCTCCTCTTCTTGTCCTGCTCCCGCGGCTCCCTCTCTCCGTCCCCTTTCAGATCCCTCCCCCTCTTCAGCTCCCCCTCCGCCGGAGATACGGCGCATATGCTCGAGAGGATCGGCGGGAGGAAGAGGGAGCTTGAGCGGAGCAGGATCGCCATCTGCCTCGTGGGCGGAGCGCGGCGGTTCGAGCTCACGGGGCCGTCCATCATGAGGAACTTGCTTGAGGAGTTCCCGAGCGCAGATATCTTCCTCCACAGTCCGCTCGACAAGGACTCGTACAAACTCTCGTTGCTCAAGGCCGCGCCGAGGGCCGCCGTCGTCCGCATCTTCACGCAGAATACGATGCCGACGACAGAGTCGCAAGAGCGGGTGCTCACGGCCAACGGCTCGCCCAACAGGATCCAGGTGAGCTTGGTCTCCTCCTGCCCTTGTTGAAGGTGTTCATATCTAAATCATACATATACAGAAGCGATCAAGAACGATCGTACGATTTGAAAGATATCGTATGTTATGATTCAGATGATGTAAGAGCAATTGATTTGTTATATGTTTATACTTCGATGTTGTTGTAACAGTAGTCAACGTAGTTCGTATTGTGTTGTTCTGAAGCTTGTTTGTCATTCTTGTTGCAGGGTCTGCTGCAGTATTTTAACCTAGTGGAAGGCTGCCTGAGGATGATCAAATCACAGGAATCTAAAGGCAACTTCACCTACGACTGGATCATCCGGACCCGCGTCGACGGCTACTGGTCCGCCCCGCTCGACGTGATTAACGCCTTTCAGCATGGCACCTACGTCGTCCCGTCCGGCTCCCGCTACGGCGGCCTCAACGACCGCCTCGGCGTCGGCGACCGTGCCACCTCCGAGGTCGCTCTCTCCCGCGTCTCCCTTATCCCCCGCCTCGACGCCGCCGGCTTCCGGCAGCTCAACTCGGAGTCGGCACTCAAGGCGCAGCTGACGAGCTCGAAGGTGCGGTGGGAGGAGATCGGGGTCCCCTTCTGCGTCGTGAGCGACCGGCTGTACGGGTACCCGCCGGGGCCGTACGGCGTGCCGGTGGTGTCGATAGGGAGCCAGGGGCAGCTGAGCGGGGCGAAGTGCCGGCCGTGCGAGCCGGCATGCACGGGGCAGTGCGCGGCCGACGTGGGGGCGGCGCTGGACCACGGGTGGGGCTGGACCGAATGGCGCGACGACAGCCTGCAGATATGCGACCCCAGCGGCGGGTGGGCGCCGGGGTGGGAGCACATCTTCGACAGGGTGGCGGGGCCCGAGGCAGCGACGGCGCGGAAGAGCGTGGCGGAGTTGGACATGGCGACATGCGTGGACGACTTCGAGATCATGAGGAAGAAGGCTGCGAGCTGGGAGGCGCCGCCGGCGGTAGAGGTCTGCAGGTTAGGTCTACCAGGGCAGACCAACTCAACGTGATCGTAGAAGATGGTTTATACAGTAGGAAAAAGTAGGAAACGATTCTTGTCTGCTTACAGAGAAGTCAATTTGGTTTTATAGTATTGTGGAATGGTCGTCACTTGTTCTAAGGATGCGACCGAGTTGGGTAGGCAACTACGCTTCCGTGGACTTTGAGGTTGGCGAAAGTAGAGAGACGACAGAGCTGGAAAGAGAACCATGTTATTTAGGTGGACCATTTTATGTTGACTTTTCGCCGTCGAGTAGCTTTATTTTCCTGGGAAGGAGACGGATGTTTGATGATAGGAGTGTCTCAATGCTGATCATATATTGAACCTTTGACTCAGTAAAGTTTCCTCCAAACTTGACATCGCTATGATCGGAAATAAGTCAACAATGTTATAAGCTTATATAATTCTTTGCTTATCTTCTGGATGTCTAACCAAATGAAGTTGGAAGGGCAACTTACTAAAAAAGCACAAGCTCATAGGATTGAGCTTTTTACACGCAGTTTTTACTTAAGTTTTATTTTCAAAAAAAAATTCTAATAATATCAAACTAATCTGAATTTATCTAGAATTACTAGTTTATCATTTTAAAATATTTAATATTTTTTTTTTTTTTTTTATAATTTTAGAGTAAATAAATTTTAAAATATGATATTTTTGGATTGAATCGGTGATCAATTGTAACCCGTTAATTTTTTATCAAATTTATTCAAATTTTTTAAAAAAATACTAAGGTGAGATGATAATATATTTAGTATGACTTTTTTTTATATAAATTTAGAGTAATTAATTTTTCAAATGAGATATTTATGGGTTGAATATGTGATCGAGTATCATTCTTTGAATTTTTACCAAACATATTCAATTTTTTTCTAAACATACTCAAGTGAGATACTAATATATTATTATTATTTATTATTATTATTATTATTTATTATTATTATTATTATTATTTATTTTTATATAAATTTAGGATGATTGATTTTTAAAATATAATAATTTTGTATAAAACACTATGATCGAGTATAACTCAAATTTAACTCTTTGAATTTTTATCAAACTATTTCAAATTTCTCATGAACTATTAGGGTGAGATGCTAATATGTTTATTTATTTTATTTATTTATTATTATTATAAGTGTTATAATGTTGTCTTAGATTACATTTTGAACATAATTTTATCATGGCACTCTTATCCATGTTTTTGAAAAGCATATAAGAGTTGTTAATTTAATTATAGAATATATTGTTTTTTAAGATATATTTATAATAAATAAATATCAAGTGATTTAGTTATTCATGATGATGCACATATTAGATTTATATCTAATACTTAGCTATTTGATCCAACTTAAAAGTTGTACATGTTAACTGCATGCTTGTGTAGATCAGGGATGACATCCTGTGCCTTCATGTCTTATGTGATATCATGATTTCTTGAACACAATTTACTGGATTTAAGTGCATGCAATTTCTTGTTTGTAGTTTTGTGTTTAATTGATTGATTGTTTGTTGCTTACATCTTTAATAAGCCAGTTGCCGTTTAGTCTTAAATTATCATACTAGCTATTTGATCTAACTTAAAAGTTGTACATGCTACAAGCTTGAAGCTGCAATGGCCAGTGCTGGCCATTCTAAACGAGCTGTTTGGCCATTCTAAACTCTGCAACTCCCAATGCAAAGATGGGGTCTGAGTGATTATGATGCTACCTGTTCAGCAACATTTGAATCACATGTGGATTGTGATAGAAAGAATACAAGATAAGGGAATAGAAGATAAAAAAAATATTGAAAAAAATTATTAAAAAAGTTTTATTGAAGATGCTTTAACTTCAATATATTAACATGTTCCTCTCCTATTTATACAGATTAGGAAGAAGGATTTTTCTCAATAGAATGGACCTTAAGTCCGTCTTTTATTCTCCTTAAGTCCGTCGACTGTTGGCAGATTAACGAAGACTATCGCGGTGAGAAAGATGAGGATTGATCGTGGAGCCTTTTAAAAATTTGGTTGCAGCGGTGTTGGTCGTTGGCTGAAGGCAAGGGCGAAGCTTTGCTTTTTTTCAACGGTGTTGGTCGCTGGCCGATGGCAAGAACGAAATTTCACTTTTCTCACTGCTCTGACACCATGATAGAAAGAATAGAAGATAAGAGAATAGAAGATAAAAAGAATTATTGAAAAAGAATTATTAAAGAAGTTTTATTGAAGAAGCTTTAACTTCAATACATTAACATATCCCTCTCTTATTTATACATATTAGGAAAAAAGATTTCCCTTAACAGAATGGACCTTAAGTCCGCCCTTCAGATTGGGTATTTTTAAATGCCAGAATCTATTTCTATTTTTATAGTTCAATTGGATATTTTCTTCTCTTGTTTTGCCTGTGACTCCTGGAATTTCTAACATGCTGAAGAGTGTTCAGGTAACAGGAGACTTTTAGTGGAAGCCTAGGATTTGCACAAGCAAGTGAAATGTGCAACAGATGTTAAAAACCTGACCACAATCAACTGAAAAAAAAGTAATTTTAATTATGTAAAGATTTACACCTTAGTAGTGTTTGATTATAGAAACTACAAAAGCAATTATACAATGCAAATCTAACCTAAATAAGTTGTCAGAATAAAAAATATAGATGGGAGGTATGTAACATGTGTCATGCTCTACAACATCAGAATTTGAAGAGAATGATAGGGATCTACAAAAGGTAGTAGAATTATAAGAACATCCAGTCATATTGATGAGCTTGTTTATTGCATCTTATTATCGTGATCTGATATCATGATCCATTATCACTTCCATATAGACATGGCAGTCAATTGCTGCTCGGCTTAATCATGACTTATCTTATCTTTTTTTCACTAAAACAAAGTAATTTGCTAAATGATACATGGCAGCTTCATGCTGGAAGCTATGTTCATGCAACTTTGGTTATCTTAGTTAATGCACTGGTTAAGCAGGTCAATGATGCTAGTATTATAATTTAAGATTAAATAGCAACTGACCTATTAAAGATGTAAGGAACAAACAATCAATTAAACGCATCACATGAATTAAAACCACAAACAAGAAATTTCTTGCACTTAAATCCAGTAAATTGTGTTGAAGAAATCAAGATATCACATGAGACATGAAGGCACAGGATCTCATCCCTATCTACACAAGCATGCAGTATTCATGTACAACTTTTAAGTATAAACAGCTACGTATTAGATATAAATCTGTGTATCTTCATGAATAACTAAATTAATTGATATTTATTTATTTATTATAAATATATCTTAAAAATAATATATTCTATAATTAAATTAACAATTCTTATCTACTTTGGATAAGAGTATCTTGATAAACTTATATTCAAAATGTAAACGTGTAAGACAAAACATTATAACACTTATTGTAATACCGAGAAAATGTACTAAAATTTTAGCCTTTTACTCAATAATCTCAGTTTAAATCATTTAACGAGATTTCCTTTTGATAACATCTTTAATTAATTATTTTGATAAAAAATCATATTTAGCTTAAGAAAATGATCATAATCTCTTAAAATCATGGTTTAGTTGTATTACTGTTGAATTCTTAGAATCTAAATCTCAAAAACTGACTGATTGCGTCATCTAATATTCTAATCCTAGGATTCTCTATTCCAAATGTCATTAAAGTCATTGTTTTGATACCATTAAATTATCACATCCTATATTTATAAAAATAATAAATCATCATTTTATTATTCATAATTTACATAATATATTTTTTTCATTCTTAAATTCAAATATCTATCTTTATAATAGTAAATATTTTATTTATTAGAAAAAAAAACTGTAACTTCTTGGTAGGATCATAAGTGTGACGAAAAAGTCATTTACCCGAGTCTCATATCTATTACAAAGTAGTACATTATTTTAAAAATAAATATAAGATAAAAACATATTAGCAACCACATTAATAAAAACCTTTAAAAAAATATAAAAATAATCTTTAATATTTATGAAACATATATAAATATCACTAGTTTAATACGAAATGATAATATATTGATTCATTATAAAATTAATGCATCAGAAAATTAATGATAATTCTTATGTAATAAATAAAATTATGTATCAATTACATGAAAATATATACATAACAATTATATATCAAAGGTGTACTATGGTGCACTCTCTCAACAACGAATGGAGAGACATACTCTCTAGGATAGATTTCTCCTAACAGTAGATTGAGAGAACCTATATCGTACTTCCAACAACGGATATATCCCTCACTTGCCTAAGTAGGGATACATTCCTCCTAACAATGAATGGAGGAACCGTCTAACCATCACGTATGATGGCTTGTTAATTCCTGAAGAAAATCGTGCTATCTGCCCTCGATAGAAATACATAAATAATCATGATCATTCATTTATATTCATTCATTCATTCATTCACGTATGCAGCTAAGAAATAATATAATAAAATACTATGAGGAACCATGCTTGATATATGATTTACTAGACTATATCTATTGGTGGCTTCGTATTATGATAGACTTGTAGCTCCTTTCACAAGTTGTACTTCCAATATGGACTGCTAGCATAATCACATATACTATATGGTAATAATTATATCAATATTAGAAACTAAAAAAAAGTTAGAAATCAATAATTATTTTTAAATTATACTTTTAGATAAAGCTTTTAAATTCATCAAATAATAAAGACTTGAGACATCAATCTTTGAATAGTCCTCAATCATCCAAAACCCTAATTGGAATAGCCTAATTGACTTGAATCAAACTTAATTCATTTATGACCTAATAGAAACCAATCTCAAATCCTTATGGAACCGGTCTGGAATCACCTTATACTATTATAATTTATATTTGATTGATTTCAATTAGGTTAAGTAGGTTTAAACTAGTCAAGTTGGTTTGAAATCACCCTAAATCTACTTGAGCCAATTAAATATGTCTTATTCAATCAATTAATGAGCTCAAACCAATGAAGAGAGAGAGAGAGAGTAAATTAGACTATGTCATATAGTGTTAGTCCAACCCGAACTAACTCACTTGAGTCTTAGACGAGTCATGTGTATTGCATATATTTGTTCCAAGTAATAGGTTGAGCTGAGGTACAATGGGTTGGATAGAGGAGCGACAATGCATCTAATACTAATCGTATAGCTGGGCGAGTCTAAATTCATGAACTAGGTTGAGCCTCACAAGTTAGCTCAAGCCTAACCATTGAATTGAGCCATGCTTGGCTTGCAGATTAGGTCATGGCTAGATACATGAGTTGGAGTTGTGTCTGACCATATGGATTGGGTCGTAACTAGCCACATGTGCTAGATCATGTTT